GTGTAAACCTATACATTACTATTAGAGTGGGGTTTCTAGGAGAATGAGGGCGTGACTCCACAAACGCATATGCATATTTATATCTATAAAAGCATCATAATTTTGTTTGAGCTTTGTACACCTTAAGAATGATCGCTTCAGTCCACAACTTTTATAAAAAAAAAGGTTGTTCCACCAGTTTATAGTCAACCACTCATTTTACATCCAAAAGCCTACAGAATATAGCATGATTAAGCAAGTAAAGTCTAGAACACAACAAAAATAACCCTTGAACCAAATTTTCTCACAATATGTACATATATACAACACAAAAAACAAAACTCCATTGTTGGTGCTTAGCTCAAAGCTCTACAAGAACATTAAAACCAAATACAATAGAACATTGGAGTTACCGAGCTGTTATAAGCGACGAGTCACCGGCGGATATGTGGCCGGCGCTGGAGATATCCTAAAATCCCGGCCATGAATCCTTGCAGTCAGCGTGCCGTTGGAGAAGCAATTCTTGCGTATTCTCGGCGTAAATCCACACATGAACTGCTCGATGGTAATCCCCATCTCGATGCACATCTCCTCTATACAACACGCCAAATTATCTCATGGATTCAGATTAACAAAAAGGCTTTAGAATCTTTCTTTTTTCTTTTTTTTTTGTTTTGTATTTATTTTTCTCTCTTGGAGGAACAAAATCCATGATAGTATTCACAATGAATCCCGGATCAGTTACAATAACATTGCAAAGTTCAATTCTCGAAGTTGACTATTGAAAGAAAGAAACGAAGATTATGTCATGTTTGTTTGCCGAGAAAGAAAATCAGAGAAAATACAACAGGAGAAGAGAAAAAAAAAAGGTAAAGGATGGCTTGCCTGGGTTTGGAAATACCAGTCTTTTGACCGGTTTGAGTGAGGACGTCGAGGTGTTCCTCTTGCAAGCCAGCATCGCCCACCGCCATTGCTCCGTCTCTAAGCTAAGTCTAAATAGAATTCTTTTTTATGAATAAATAGGAAGTAGGAAATTTTTTAAATTCGTATTCCCTGCTAGGTAGAAGAAGGAAGACTTGCCATCAGTGTCACCACCAATGGTAGAATCTGATTCTGTCCCGGCAGTCAGAGGAGGAGATGGGAAACCGGCAAACGGACAATCGGGCGGAGGAGAAACCAAACGAGCTCTGAGAGGCCAACGGAAAGATCAATTGGCGAACGGAGAGAGAGGCCGGTGAATGGAGCCGGGGAACCTTGCTTCAAACGGTGAGGAGGAGAGAGGACAGAACTCTAAAAAAAAATTTCGCAGAGGAGGATGAGAGATACGAGTGGAGGAGAGATCTGAAATGAAAATTAGTGGTAAATTTCAGATTTCAGTGGGTAAAATTGAAAATAAAAAATTTCATTAAACCCTCAAAATTAATTCCCGCATAAGCTGAGGCTGATTCTGCTTTTAGCTTCATATTGGGAGGAAATTGTTTAAAAATCTGTTTTACCAAACAAGTTTTTAGATTTTGAATCTCTCAATAAGTATTTTTTCTCTCCCAAAAACAATACCAAACCCACCCTATATCTGTTACTCTATAAGAAATATCTTTCATTATATGACATTCAATAGGTGGTGGAACATGTCTTCTTCTAGCTTAAGATTTTTTTTTTAAAGGACTTAAGATTCCGGTTTAGCTAAATCATGTTTCCAGTTTCCCTCTCATGAGTTGTGAGGAGAAAAGATTTTATAATAATTCTTTATGTTTTTAATTAATTTGACTCAATGTGACTAGTGAGCAAATTATGAAATGGATATAGATAACTTACCGATTAGATTCAATTTGATTGAACATAGAGGGATGATTTGATCCTCTTCAAATTGTTTGGATTAAAATTTAAAATCACGTATTATAATAAGATTTACATGATTTTATTTGCATTGTAATCTTAGGCTTTTTGGTTATTTTTTATAATTTCCAATTAAATGGTTCTAATTCAGTTACATTTTAAATTGTTAATTAGTTTGGCAATAAACCTACAATCAATCAAAATCAAATTGGATTGGATTGAATTTTGTATAGTAAGTCAACAAGAATCCAACAAACACGAGAAAATCAAAAGTCTCAAGGCATGAATTTTGACGAACCTCGACTCAATATCAGTGAAATATAGATAGAAATGTCTGCAAAAATCCAACAAAGACGTCTAAGCCTCAACAACACAACCAAAGGAAACAAAAGGATTGGCCTGTCCCAAAAGACGGTGTCGTTTTAGGCAAAATTATTGGAACGCAACAAAATGAAACAAAATAGAGTTTTAATACATGAATCCCGCGTTTAATAATCATAAATTAAAAGAATAAGAAATGAATTCCAATAAAAAAATGAATTGAGTTCCATAAGATCCATAATTGTATTAAAGTATTAGGGAACTAAGTTACAAGGTGAATTAAATTCTTATTACGTTGTTTACTTATTAAAAGAAATATGAATATTATACAGTATTACCGTTCTTCTAAGTGAATAACTAAGGGTACATTTGTTAAATAGGTTAGGTTCTTATTTTTTAGGGGAATGAATTAAATCCTGTAGGTAGAGGTGGGATATAAGTTCCTCGAATTAAGATTTGTTGTCTCATTTTTCTATTTCGATGGTTGTCTCTCTAATTAAATTTTAACACATAGTGAATTGTTTTAGTATTTTGTTCTTATTCATGTGGCCAGGTTCTTAAATTTAAAGAACATAATAAATAAGTAGTGACAGCCATCAAGACATTAGAATGTGGACAACAGATCTGAACTCAAATTCCCCTTATCAATGAACTTAATTCCGTATTTGTTAGTGAGCCCAAGTAATTCAATTCTCATATACAAATGTAAATACAAGAACTTGAAATCATGAATTTAATTTCATTTTTTGAATTGAGTTCCTCATTAGTAAACGCGTCCAAAACAAAACAACGGTAAATCTAAAACTAAATGACAATAACACTAATAACAAAAATAAAAACAAAAGAACTTGATCGTCAGATGTTAAACGACGGGTCGTTGGAAGACGTTACCTGCCTATATCAACACAAAAGTTGGTTTGGATTGGATCTAAAATTTAGCAATCCAATATAATGATTCTTGGAAAGTATAATGCATTATCATGGAAACAATGCATAACATAAACCACACATTCCCAAAATGTGAAGTTTTTTCAGTAAGAAGAAATATCACGTTGTCCAGTTCAAATCGGTGCATATAAAAATATCATTATCATTGTATGATTCAGGCTTAGATATCAATTACGTAATCGTGGAGTAGAATCTAACGTTTGGTTCATAATTCAGAATTATTTTTTATTTACGTGTATTTTTTATGAGAAAAAAATTGTAGCGAACCACAAACCATAACACGAATCCTTACTGCAAACGCGTGGTTTTGGATTAGAATCAGGTACAAAATACCATCCCATATTAACTCACTAAAAAAAAAAGAAAAAAAAAAAGACAATTATCTCACGGATCTCCCAAACTCCCCATTTGCAGCACATGCACTCACTACAATTCTATATCACTATACCCTTTTGCATAAAATAAAGAAATTTAACAGACCCCAAAAAATCTGCCCCTGCCATTCATGTGAGAGTTTCTTTTTTTTTTCTTTTCTTTTTTTTTAGGAACATTCATGTGATATATATATATAATTCACGTGGCTCATAAATGAAAAAATATCTTTTTGCCCCGCTTATGAAAGAGAGATTTTAGCAGTAACAACTATAATGCAATTGACTTTGCATGCATTATTTAGCAAAAGTATTGTTTTTCCGCAAAATGAAATCTTCTAGAATAATTATAATAGTTAACGTTGCAATTTGCATCAGCATCCCCATGTGCGGGGCAAGCACTCCCTATGAAACAATAACATGGTAGGATACCAAAAATCTTTTGGTAACTATTGTTTTCAAAGTCACATGACTTTTCCAGATTTTATCAAGTTTGCATTTTATTTAATTTTGAAATAATTCTTATATAATGTGATATGGATGTTCTTTACCACATACACGTTTTATTACTCATTTATGAGTCTTGTAAATAAAACGTATAAAATTTGCTAATGAAGATAACGATGATTTGTTGAATATTTAATAATGAAGGTAATGATGCTTTGTTGTTGAATATATAAAAATTTGTGATGGTTGAACATAGTGTTCAATATGAATGTGTGATATGGTTTTTGATGGTTTTGTATCAAAATAATTTCGTAAAAAAGCAAAAAAAAAAAAAAAAAAAATCAATAATGGTTCTATTGATCTACCGCCCGCTTTGACAGACGGATTTTGTACAAAACGACAAAGCTTAAAGCGCCATATATATATATTATATATATATTCTCCTTTTTTATTTTAATTTGTAATGAATGCCAATTTATGCCATATATATGTTTTCCTTTACCATGTGTAGGAGACTCCTTTACTCACAAGGCCAGCATTAAACCCGGACGTTACGTCTCACAAACCACGTTGTTTTCTTTTTTCCATTTTCAATCACGTGATGGAGAATTAAAACATATATAAAAAAAATAAAAAAACATTTTCTCTAGTTAAACCGGCAACAATCCCATCATAGAACCTTCCATACCTCGTCACAAACTGCCGGTCTTTCCACTTTCGGTAACCATTAATCTGTTAGGTATTATAGCCAAGTGTTGCCAACTCATAAATTAAAAAAAAAAAAAAAAAACGTGAAGAATTGTGAAGAACCAGTTTACCAAAAATGAGAATATTAACCGTCAAAAAGTAGTAATGGTTCAAATTTTCGCACGTGGGAGACTCATTTACACCACGTGCCCAATGACGCACCATTATCGCCACGTTGCTTATTGTCCAATTGGTACTTTTACGTTTCCCCTTTAAAAGATCCCTTCAATGCTCTTCTGACCCGCTCTCTATGATCTCTCTCTCCCCTTCATTTCTTATTACACACACACACACACACATATATATATATATATATATATATATATATATCTGTGTGTAGTTATTGTTCTTTTGTACTTTCAATCCTGTAGAATTTCGAGTGTATACATACACACATACATATAACATATATATATATGTGTGTATATATTTTCTTACTTATTCGGATTTGTGATCATTGGGCGGCAATGAGGAAGAACTGTAATTTCGATAATTTCAGTCCTTTTCCATTCTTCAGGACTAATTCTTTGACGGTACCAGTTGATCTCCTAAATATTCCATTAATGTAAGTTCCAATATCCTCAATAATAATTCTTTTTCCTTTTTCTTTTTTTGTCATGAACAGATTTGTATGAAATATTTTTTTTTTTTTGCATAAGTTCTTTTTGCTACGTACATGTTACCCATCCATTTCGTTTTTTTTTTTTTTTTTTTGGTGGGTTTTCTTTTCTTTTCCTTTTTTCTTTTTTGGAAAAGAGGGAAATATTGATCATGAAATCCGGTTATACTAGTGGGAGCTTTTACTAATCTTCATTTGATTAAATATATAATGTAGGGACCTTATGCCATATTCGACTTATATAGACAATATTCAACATGAGGTTATCATATATTTCAATGGACGGACTTTGGTTTGCGACATGATTGAACTCCAGGTATTACATCACATTAAGTTATTTTGTGCGTTCTTTATCATACTTACATATATAGCCCCTTTTCTTTTTCAATTTCAAAAGAAGATTTGCATAGTTTTATTCTTCTATATATAATCTAATGTTCGGAAACTTCTATTAATGACACAATTTTTCCTCGCATAGAAGTCCCCAGTGCGCTATTTATATATAAACTTGTATATTTGTTCTGGTTTAGAGGATTTGATTGCCGAAAAGGGGCATATTGAAGAGAAGAACTGAAGATCGAAAAAACCCAAAATAGAGGGGTGTATCTATACAAAATTGGCTTCCTTCTAGAATTGCCTAATTACCATTTTATCTAATCTCGTTAGTTTTAGTTTGTCAAATCGCAAAATCTTTTAGCATTCTCCAAAGTTAACTAATTGTGGTTTATGATCATACGTACACTTATCAAACAACTATCAAAATTTGATTTTTTTTTTCACTTTCCTTGGCTGAGTAAGGGAAAAGGAGGTTGTAAAAAGGAAATATGAGCCTTTTTTGTTGTTGAGAAAAACACACGCGCACACACACAAAAAAAAAAAAAAAAAAAAAAAAAAAAAAATCAATATTTTTTTGAAGGAAAATCTTAGAAGTAATGAATTTGGCTACTTAATTACTAGCTTTTATTTCATGATGCAGGCTAGATCCATAATATTATTTGCAAGTCGAGAAATGAAAGGAAGGAAAAATTTAAAAGGCTCGGACTTGGAATTATCTACTTGTTTGCAATCTCAAATATATGGATCTCCAAGTCTCTCCATGAAGAGATCTCTAGAGAGATTCCTCCAAAAGAGAAGGCAAAGGAGCAGAGCATCATCCCCATATAACCAATAGGCCTCAAAATCTATTTTCCAAATGGGGCTCAATCATGTTACAAAGCTTAACAAGAAATATTAGGTTATGTAGCTTCAGTGAAATGCATAAATGTGTTAATTTTTATTCATTTGGTTTCATGTAATTTTAAGCCCCTTGTTAATTTGGAAGGAATTGGAGGAGGTAAAATTGGACTAGGGAACTTAAATTTTGTTTCCAAGCAATTTACTTTTCCTGAATTATCTATTAGGTCACATATTGGATGTAAGATTTTAATGGAGTTAATTAGATATCTTTGGTATTGGACCACCGTCGCAAATAAAAAGAAAAAGATGAATAAACCCCATTTTATGCTTGTAAAATACGTGAATTTCAGGTTGATTTTTTTTTTTTTTTTGTGGACAAACACTAGAACAAACGGTACGTTATGCCAAAAAAAAAAAGAAAAAGAGGCGCTTTATATGAAGATTTTAGATTTGTTTATATTTATCAACTCCTTTCATAAAACTTGTTAAGAGATACACATTTTACAATCGTTCTTTTAAGACCGTTGTTAAATATAAGGATTTAATAACGTTTTTTAAAAAAGCTGTCATTGAAGGTCGCTTTTTTTAGATGGAATCTTTCCCACCCTGTTTTATTTATTTCAAATAAATATAGATAATAGATGGATATAGTTCTAAGCCTTCCTTTTCTCTCCTACATTGTCAGAATAGTTTTGCCCATTATTATTATGCCCGTTTATTTCATTGATTCGAATTTAGAATTTAAATTTTGCTATAGTAAAAAGTTATTATGAACAGTTACATCTAACTATATTTTTTTTATATACATATGACTCCTCAACTTTATGCGTTTGGTCCCTCAACTTTTAATCTTGGCAATTTACCCTCTAAATTTTAAAATTCGTTATAATGTTCATCAAATTGAAACTGGAGTTAAAATTTTAGACCCTTTTTTTCCACGTGATTATTTGATGAGGGTAAGTCTAATTTTTTTTGCGTTAAATTGATCCTCATATGCACATCACGCGTGACTTTTTTTTTTTTTTAAAAAAAAAAAAAAAGAATTCAGGGTTAACCCTTTTGGGGAAAAAATTGGGTTCTCCCAGTGTCAAAAAAATTTTCACTTATGATGTGCATATGAGAACCAATTCTATGTAAAAAGACTTTAATTACTCTTATCAAATACTTACGTGGAAGAAACCATCCAAAATCTTAACGTTGTTTTCAATTTGACCAATATTGCAACAGATTTCAAAGTGTATAGGAGAAATTGCTAAGATTAAAAGTTGAGGAATCAATTTGTCAAACACATAAAATTGAAGGGTGTCTATATAAAAAAAGCCTTAGAGATACAAAACAATATGATACACAATGATGCTTATTTTATTTTCTTATTTAGATGATAAAAAAATAATCCAAGGACATTTATCATATAAATTAGGATAAGTAGCACTTATAATGTCTAACATTAAACGCATATCATTTTAGAGTGTGTTTGGTAGGAAGGAGATATGGAGATAGGAAGAGGAGTGATGGAGGTTGGAAGAGAGCCTCAATCCATTGTTTAGTTGGAGGAAAGAGATCAGGGATAGTAGAGACGGACATAGATCTCTCCTTTCGCTTCAACACTATTGCATCCTTTCACTAGTGGAATGACTCATCTCCTTCAAAAAGCTAGTATAAAATTTGAGTAATTGACATTGTTGGTTTCTAAACTCTTTAGTAGGCGACAACATAATCCCTAATATTTTAATTTTGACAAAATAATCTCTAAACTCTTTAAATGTTAGCAATTAAAACCTTTTTAATAGTGAAAATAATGATGTAATACATAATCAAATAATTATCCATTTATTCTATCCCTCCAAGAAAACTCTATTTGTCTCGATGTAGGGGTGTTCACGGAATCTGTCAATCCAATTAGTCTACCAAATCCAATTGAATCTGAAGTTTTAGATTGGATTGAAAAAAAAATTTGGATTGAACACGGATGAATATTTTTCCAATCTGAAAGTTTTGGACTAGATTGCGGATTGGACACTTTTCAATCTGCGAAATCTATAATGTATATATAGTTTATATATATATATATATAATTTTTTAAGTTAAGTTTCTTAATTTTTAATAATGCATATGAAGGATAAAGATTTCATTTTGAGTTTTACTGAATTTATTTTGTCATTATTAAATGGGTTGTAACTATTTAGACCTGGTTAAACAACTTTATGTTATGGTCATGCTATATTTATTTGAGTTATGATGTTGCAAACTGTGAGTTATGATAAATGATGAAGATTTAATGTTGTGTTTTATGTTATATGGATGTTTAATAATTTATAATTTTAAAAGTTAAAATTCATAAATTTTGTGAATTTAATCCATAAAATCCGATAAGTTTTGAATTAGATTAGATTAGATCAAATCTAAAATGGTTTTGATGAAACACAGATTGAGATTTTCTAATTTGAAAGTTTTGGATAGGAATGCGGATGTGGACACCTTTATTGTCACCATATGAGCATGTGGAGCCCACTTTTTTGTGCCCACAGGGATAAATCCGGTTGCTCATCCCTCCAACACTCATTCCCGATGAAGTCCTCCCCATCATTTCTCATTCGTTGGCTAGTAGAGTGGAGGCAGAGACCCGGCCCATAAAATGTCATGAAGGCCCAATACGACACGGATCGCCCCTTCACAGTTCACAGCCAGATAATATAAAAGGTTGGTGTACACGAACAGGTCGTTCGTCATCGAGGGTGGTGTTTAAACTGAAGATCTTCGTCATCGAGGGTGGTGTTTAAACTGAAGCTCTGACCAGAGAGAGAGAAATGTCTGGATTGAAGGACGAAGACGAAGAACGACGGCGTCAGAGGAAGCTGGAGGAAGCCCTCGAAGTCAAATCCCTTAGGCGTATCATCAGCGCCAATCTCAAGTACTCTCTCTCTCTCTCTCTCTCTCTAGAACTAGGATTAAATTTTCTCCACTCTGATAACTAGGTCTGCAAATTCAAACTCCTCAGCATGATTATTCACCCATTTTGATTGGATTCCTATTGAGCGTGTATGAAATTGAAATTCAATTGGCCTAATGTAACGATACAAAGAGGAATATGTCTATATGTATACACACACACAAATATATGTTTGTGTGTGTGTGTGTGTGTGTGTATGTATTTGAAAATGATAATCTTGTTTGTTGTTAATGACAATTTTTGGTTTTGAAATGTATAGCTATCCGGATGCTGCGGATGCGGATGTCAAAAGATGTGAAAGATCTTTCAAGAAACTTCCACCTGCCCATAAGGTTTGTTTGGTTTTTTTTTTTTTTGGTCTAAATTTTGTTGCTTAGAATTTTTTTTTTTTGAAAGGAAAATGGCTTGTTTTAGTCAATAACAGCCCAATCAGCTTGTACAAAACCCTGATAAACCTGGTGCTAGAGTCGAGCCAAATTATGTGTTCTCTTCTTGTACTGATGTGATTTTGTTGCTTAGCGTTAATTCCCTGTTCGAAGTGCAATTTGAGTCTTGAGAGTTGTAATTGGAGTGTTCTGAGATGAAAAAGAACAATGTTTCTTTCTTCACTGCCTTTAGCTTATTTCTTTAATTTCTCTTGTCCATGTTTGCTTAGGATTTTGATATTCCTTTGCATTTGTTTTTCTTTAATAAAATTTTGATGTATAAGCTTAGATTTCTTGTGGGTCTCATCCTTATAGGGATGCGCTAGTTTTTTCTATCCTCTCTCGGCATTTACAAAAAAAAAAAAAAAAGTGCAAGTATTTTGGCTCTCTCTCTCTCTCTCTCTCTCTCTCTTTTTTTTTTTTTTTTTTTTTTTTTTTTTTTTACTTCTGCGTTTGATTGGATATTACCTTCGTGTTTTCCTTGCATGATCTTGCAGGCTTTGTTATCCCATTATCCTTTCAAGCTTCAGAAGCTAAGACGGTAATAATCTATACCATTTCCACCCCCTGTTTTTCCTTTTTTTTTTCTTTCCTTTTAGATTTATATTTTTTTGCTTGATTCTTTTAGTTGTTATCTATAAGAAAATCTATGTTCTTTTGTAACCATGACTATGTTCTATGAAAGCTATCCCAAATATCTAGCGCAAAGAGAGTTTTCTCTTTCTGCTTGATTCTTTTAGTTGTTATCTATAAGAAAATCTATGTTCTTTTGTAACCATGACTATGTTCTATGAAAGCTATCCCAAATATCTAGCGCAAAGAGAGTTTTCTCTTTCTGATTGTTTACTTAAATGGCTAGTCTTAGGATTAACTTGCATGCAATACTTCTTTTTGGAATCTCTTGATGTGCAGAGATCTCAATTCACTATGCATAGCATGTTTCAGTTGTTATTAACGTTTAGTAGTTTACCCCCAAGGGGTAGCTTAAGTGGCTCATGACCTCACCTTACAAGTAGGAGTTCTTGGGTTCGATTCCCCTTGGGGTATCTCCCTCTGTTTGTCCCAATGTGTTCGGATAGGAGGGTCTACACACACCTTAGGGATTAGTCAGGTGCTCAATGGATACCCCTAGGTTATCAAAAAAAATAAAAAAAATAAAAAATAAATAACGTTTAGTAACTTGAATTTCAGAGGCAGCCAAAATGCTATCCTTTATCTTTAACAGTTTTCGGACAGTTGAATTGGAAGGATTAAATGGGGGTTTGACTGCATGACTTTGGCAGTTTTAATAGTTGCATTTTGTTTTTCTTTCATTTTTTTCCTTAGTGTTTTTTCCTTTTCATTGTGAGGGCTTCTTGTCCTCGAATCCTCTGTAGTTTGTAATTGATTTTGTTATAATGAAAAGTTGTTTTATATATTAAAGAAGAAAGCTTTTGAACAATCTTTATTCTGTGAGGGTAAAGGAGATTGCAACCGAGTTTAAAGTGATCAAACAATAGTTTGCAAGCTGTAATTAACTTGGCCTTTTATTTTGCAGATGCATTTCTGTAAATTCATATTTCATCTTTAGCATGCTTCAGGTTAGTTCCAAATCACTCTTTGACCTTTGTATTTTATCTTTCTTTCCTGCTCAAAATGTGTGAAATTTGATATTTTGTTACTGAAGCACTTTGTCAGAGTGCTGAGTTTTTATGGACAAGCCCTCAAAAATGGCGTAATTGGTGAGGAATATCCTGATCCTGTTTCTGTGTCCCAAAATTTAATTATTTGACAGGCATTTGAACCCCCACTTGATATGAGCCAGGACATAGATTGTTGTGAAAACTCCCATCTTGAAGATGCCCCAAATGATCATGGCTCCTCTGGAGCACAAGATGCTTGCGCTTGTCATCCTTCGTCCACAAGTGGAAGATCGTGTTTCTCCAAATCAAATCAAGCTTGTTGTGAGGAAGAGAGCAATTTATGCAACTCACCAAGAGGAGTTATTGCCAATAAGGTTTACACAATAGTCATCCCCACAATAGCTTTTCTGATGAATGGGAATTCAAGTTATGGTTCTTTCCTTCTATGTCCTTTTCATTTAGAAATTTGACCTCTGTAGATAACCACAGGAGGTGGAAAATGAAGAACACTGTGAGTCCATTACTGGATGCAAGAATCTAGGCTTGGAATATGACAAGGAGACGGAAACTTGCTGTGGAAATGATGCCAATTATTCCAATGGAAATGTAGGTATTTCAATTAACTTTATGTTGAATTTGTCTTTTGGTAACTTTATGTTGCAGTACATATAACCCATTCATTTTCTTGTGTTCCTATCTATATTTACTAATTTATTAAAAAAAAAAGTTTCACGTAGATTGAAAAGGGGTATATGTGTTGAATTACTAGGATTTTTTTCCTTCAGTTTTTTTGTCATCGGTAGATCGTAGAATGCCTTGAATAATGCTTGAAGTGGTAGAATGCATATACATTCTTCTTTCATGTTTTAGAACCATATATTTACTTCTAATTAGTTACCTAGAAATGAAAAGAACTTTTATGTGTAGCATTTCTTGGGTATTAGTAGAACAGCAAACGTCCATATCTATCTGTGTTTTTAGTTTGACTTTGCTCTAAAAAACAAGGCAAAAGGAAAGAAACTATATAGCTACTTAGTTTACTTCATTTGTGCATTGCTCTCAAGTCTTATCATGATTATGGATTATTCTAATATCTTTCTGTAGTTTAGTTCTCGTATTTTCATTTATAATTATTATCTTTATTATTTCTGCTTAGTTGATCCCAATTAATTACATACTTTATATTGAAATAAACATTCAGGTGTGCTCGTCAAGTCACGAGTGGTTGGACCCATCTTTTCAGTTAGATGTTCCTTTAGTTGATGTTGACAAGGTATATTTATTCCTCTCTGAATAGATTTCGTTCCATTTGTTTTATATACATGCAGATTTTAGCTATTTCACATTTTTAACTATTAAAATAACTTAAAACCGCAGCTTCCGCCTTGACAGGGCGGTGCTCTGACCATTTGAACTGCAATCCCAAGGAAATAACATAACAAAATTATAAAATAAGGTGTACAGTATACAAATTTTTATGATTTTATTCAAATACTTTCTATATGGATATGAACTTTAGCAAGAGAGGCATGTTTTATATACAAGGAGATTTCTGTGCTACTGCATTAGGGATACGAGGACTTCTTTGGTTGAGGCTCATACTGTCGAGTTTAAAAATTGATATTGATAGACTTATGATGTTGTGCTGCGGCAACAAAGTTGCTATTGACATGTCACACAATCCAATTTAGATGATTGTACAAAGCATGTTAAGTTGATAGGCACTTTATCTACACAAAAACTCGAGTCAGGATTGATTTGTACTTTTTATTAAATGCTATTTTTAGCTGGTTAGGTGGTAGTTTTTAGATGGATTAATCACTATAATCCTCGTATATGTGTTTGTAACCTTAGATGGTAAATATGTGCAGAAAAGTGGAATTATTCCCTTTTTTCCATCATTTCTCGTCTACTTTATTGTGACTTTCGTATTATGCTGCTAAATCCAAGAATGACTTAGAATATGACATTTTTTTTTCTCGATTTGATCATTAAGGACTTTAGAGCTTCAGTCTTTCTAACATATTAGAGACTCGAGATTTTCATACCATAGAAAAGTGGTGGGCTGGTAGCATATATGGTTATATGTTAGGAACATTTCTTTTGTTCCCCTTTTCCCATGTCTTGTGAAAAGATTGCCATCTATTAGGGGACTACTTTGAAAATTATAATCTTCATTCACTAGTTTTTTCCTTTTTTTCTTTCTTTTGATAAGATTTTTTTTTTTGGGTCACTTTTTCCCCCTTCTTCAGGTTCGTTGTGTTATAAGGAATATAGTCAGAGATTGGGCAGAAGAGGTATTGTACCAATTCCCATATGTTTTTAGATTACGATTATCATCTACAAAATAGAAGATTTACTTAGTTCTTTTATGATTCTAATTAATACAGGGACAGAAAGAACGTGATCAATGCTACAAGCCCGTCCTTGAAGAGCTTGATTCCCTATTCCCTAACCGCAGTGAGGAAAGGTACATTTATTCTGCTTTCCATTTTATTCCCTTATGGTATCTCTTAATATGCTTGCAAAGATTTGATAAGCCTCATTCACTTATTCGATTCAAGTTTTTAATTCGAGCTGAGATGTGACTTTTTATGAGAGTTTTTTACTGTAGTAGCAAATGTTAGATGTGATTTTTTGTGAGAGCTTTTTATTGTAGCAAACTGGAATTGAAAACTCAAATCGGAAAACTGAATAAGGCAGTAGTATTGAGAAATTCTCTTGCGCATTGTGTTCACTCTAATAATTCATTTTAATCATCTAATATCTTTTGACAGTCCTCGTGCCTGTTTGGTTCCTGGTGCTGGGCTTGGACGGCTGGCTTTAGAGATCTCTCGTCTAGGTATACATTTAACATGTTCTTGTCATAAATTCAACCATTGCCTATGATTTTACTGAGTATATACACTTCTCACGTGATTGAACAGGTTTTGTTAGCCAGGGAAATGAATTTTCTTACTACATGATGATATGTTCAAGCTTTATTCTTAATCAGTAAGAGTTTTCGTGATAACAAGAGCTTAATGATTTTTCAAACCATGGGTGAGGTATCTTTATGTTTTTCTGTACTATTGACAATTAAATGTTTTTCTTGGTATTTGTAGTACTGAAGTTGCAGGAGAGTGGAAAATTCATCCTTGGATCCACAGCAATTGCAACTCACTTTCCGATAGTGACCAACTTCGTGCTGTCTCAATACCCGATATCCATCCGGCTAGGTATTTTATTACTTTAAAAGTGATAGCAATTGGGACCTCTCTTTAAAGCTGGCTTCCTAGTTGGTTTCCTTTGAAAGATGGACGTGTAATTGATTTTTAACTTCCATTTTTCTTGAGGTTTTGTATCACTTACCAAATTATAGAGGAATACATATCACTACTTCTAAACAAGACCTGTATAAAGTCTATTCTAAACATCCTGTACTGGGGCTGGCTGCTCTTCAAAATGCAAATAGATGACTTTGGGTAATACTTAATAGTGACATATTGACATGGACATGCATTCAAATGCAAGTTAGTTTTGATAGTGACAAATGAAATTTCGATATCTACATTTCGAGTTATTGTTACTTCTTGAAAGGAAATTGGTCTTGATGCATCATTTGTGTAGACTCTAGATGTTTTGAGCGAAAAACGGATCACGTTGACCCAACGACAGGGAAAGCAAGCTGGAATAGGTGGTATTATTCATGATCTGGGGGGGTGCCAAAGTGGGCTTTCAATCAAAAGCTTTGACAGCATCTTTTTTTTTTTTTTTTGGTATAGAAAATTGTGTATTTCTGTTATAAATAATGATCCACATTCTCGCATTGGAAGTAGTGCAGGGATCACCGAAGGCTTTTCCATGTGTGGTGGTGACTTTGTTGAAGTTTACAGTGATCCGAGCCAAGTTGGTATGTTATCTGACTTATTCGTGTATCTTTATGTCTATAAATAGTGTCAATGTAAGAAATTGTGGAAATTTATGTTCCACCTGGTCCAACGCGCTAAAAATTTGTTAGTCTGTTAGACCTCCGGTACGAAAGGTTTACATTAGGAGGTCCAAGAGAGGAATTGAGATGGGCCCAGGCCCAACTGAGATGGATCGGGAGGAGAGCGTGGCTGGCACGGAGGGCCCATATGGGGAGGTGTGCGAAGTTGGTTAGAGGATCGGTGGATATATGGGAAGCAGTGGGAGTATGTGAGGATTATCGAATTTGTTGCTTGGATTGACCACTGGGAGGTTGGGGATTCCTCGAAAATCCCTTCTATCTTTCTTTCCTGTATTCTTGTAGTTTTCCTCCATTTTCCATTAATCTCAGAGCTTCCTGAAGCTCTTGATGTAATAGCAATGACTGGGATTCAATAAAAACGGCAATTGCCAATTCTCAGTCCTTTTGTTAGCTTAATCTCTTGCATTAGGAACTAGGATCCTAACATTTGGTATCAGAGCAGCGGTCCATGGCTCACAGGGCGCCGGCGACGAACACTACGGAGTGCATCTCTGGGTTGGAGGGTGATGTCGAGGCGATCAGAGAGACCGTACGATTGATGCGAGTGATGGTGGATCGCGTACCTCAGCTACAGGAGGATGTGGTGGCCTTGGGAATCCAGATCGGGGACGTACAGGGTTCCCTTCTCCGACTAGAAACTATGCTGGGTCGCCATCTCGAGGCCCAGCCACCGATTCCCCAGCGGCGGGAACAGGCACGAGACCATGACCGGCGGATGCAGAACGAGTCGCCAGAACGGGGTCGCGGCCGAAATGATCACCGGGGAAGACGACTAGAGTTGCCGATATTCCAAGGGGACGACCCGTATGGGTGGGTGTTCCGCGCAGAACGCTACTTCGCCATTAACGGAGTAGAGGAGGGGGAGAAAGTAATGGCAGCCTCAGTTTGCATGGAGGGAAGGGCCTTCGGCTGGTTCCAATGGTTGGACTCCCAGGAACCGTTCGCCGGTTGGCGCGACTTGAAGACAACTATCCTCCACCGCTTCAGCCGTACTAAGGACGGTGATCCGACAGAGAGGCTGATGGCGCTGCGGCAGGACAGCACGGTGGCCAACTACCGCGATCGCTTTGAGCCGTTGGCCGCGTCGATGAGAGGTATTCCTGAACCTATTTTCCGTGGAGCTTTTCTTAATGGGTTACGGGAGGATGTGAGGGTTGAAGTAAAATTACATCGGCCCATTAACCTCCAAGAGGTAATGGACCTAGCCCAACAAATTGAGGATAGGAACGAGGCTGTAGAGAAACTTAGGAAAAGGAAGATGGGCCGGGGGTGGAGGTATGAAGAATCTGGGAAAGGTATGGGCTTGAGTGAGAAGCCCAACCCCATTACGGGATTCCCTGGGAACTCCCTTCAGTCCAACTTAGGAAAAGAGTCGGTTTTCCCCCACCGACCCCGGATGTGGCCTTCACAACAGGCTGGGACTTTAGAAGGAGGTGGGGCTAGCTTTAGGAGGCTTACCGATGGCGAGATCCAGCGCCGAAGGGCCAAGGGGTTATGTTATAGGTGCAATGAGAAATATGGTCCAGGGCACCGATGCAAGAATCGGCAGTTGCAGGTGTTGCTGGTGTCGGAAGAGGAAGGGGAGAAGGATGAAGATTCCGCAGAGGTGGTGGAGCCACCCACAGAAGAAGTCGAAGGGATGGCGGGCATCTCGCTTAATTCACTGATAGGAGTCTTGTTTGCCAACACCCTGAAGCTGAAAGGGACCATCGGAAGCCGTGAGGTGATGGTTTTGGTGGATAGTGGGGCTTCCCACAATTTTTTGTCGCTACGGGTTGTGAGGGAACTGCAAATTCCCCTTGAAGCTACAGGAACCTATAGAATTCAGGTAGGTAATGGCACCTGTTTTAAACGGCAGGGAGTGTGTAAGGGGGTAGAGCTCAGAATCCAAGGGTACTCGGTTTTGGGGGAATTCGTTCCTTTTGAACTGGGGTGTGCGGAGGTGGTTTTGGGGCTGGCTTGCTTACAAACTCTGGGGGAGGTAAGGGCCGATTGGCAAAAGTTTACCTTGAAATTCAAATCCGAGGCAGGGTGGATCTGTTTAACGGGGGACCCGACGCTGAAGTTGGAACCGGTGAGTTTGAGGACTTTAACCCGTACATGCCACGGAGATATAGCAGGAGCGCTGTTAGAAATATATGCTATCGAGGGGGGGTGGGGGGTGGTTGAGGTGTCCCGAGCCAAGGAACTAGAGGCTTTGCGGGGTCTTGGCGCAGTTTGCTACTGTGTTTGAGACACCGAGTGGCTTACCGCCAAACTGAGCACGGGATCATCAGATCGTTCTCAAAACCAGGGGCGGAACCGCCTAACATTCGGCCGTACAGGTATCCCCAAGTGCAGAAGAGTGAGATAGAGAAGCTCGTGGCTGAAATGTTGGCGTCTGGGGTCATTCGGCCGAGCAATAGCCCCTTCTCCAGCCCTGTTCTGTTAGTCAAGAAAAAGGACGGCAGTTGGCGCTTTTGCGTGGACTACCGAGCCCTTAACCAGCTCACGGTTCCGGACAAATTTCCAATTCCCGTCATCGACGAGCTTTTGGACGAATTACATGGGGTGGCAGTGTTTTCGAAATTGGACCTGAGGGCAGGATATCATCAAATTCAAGTCAGGGAATTTGACGTGGAAAAGACTGCATTCCGGACACATGAGGGGCACTACGAATTCTTGGTCATGCCGTTCGGCTTAACAAACGCCCCAACCACATTTCAGGCGCTTATTAATAAGGTTTTCCAGCCTTACCTGCGCCGTTTTGTATTGGTATTCTTCGATGACATCTTGGTCTACAGCCGCACTTGGGCCGAGCATTAGGAGCATCTCGCAGCAGTCCTACAAGTCTTACAGGATGAGCAGTTGTTCGCAAACCGGAAGAAGTGCGCATTCGGCCAGCAACAGTTAGAGTACTTGGGACATGTAATATCGGTAGTAGGTGTAGCGGCTGATCCGGCTAAGATAGAAGCGGTTGTGGCTTGGCCCACACCCAAGAACGTTCGAGGAATTAGGGGTTTTTTGGGGCTAGCCGGTTATTACCGGCGATTCGTTCGCAACTTTGGACAGTTGGCGAGACCTATAACTTCTCAAACGAGGAGAGTACAAATGGACCCCGGAGGCGGGGGCTGCGTTTGACGCTCTTAAGCATGCCATGACCACCCTGCCGGTCCTTGCAATGCCGGATTTCTCTAAGCTTTTCGTGGTGGAAACAGACGCCTCCGGCTCGGGGTTGGGTGCTGTACTAATGCAGGAGGGGAGGCCCATTGCCTTTTCGTGGTGGAAACAGACGCCTCCGGCTCGGGGTTGGGAACTTCATGACTCCGGTCGGTTTATGAGCGGGAGCTCATGGCAGTCGTCTTAGCGGTGCAAAAGTGGCGCCACTACTTGCTCGGGCGCCACTTTGTAGTGCGCACCGATCAGCAAAGCCTAAGGTTCCTTATGGATCAACGGCTTCTGCCTCCTGATCACCTCCGGTGGGCCATTAAACTTTTTGGGTATGACTTCGAGCTGCAGTATAAGCAGGGCGCTTCAAACAGGGTCGCTGATGCACTGTCTCGGCGCGGTGAGGGAGGGCCGATGGAGTTGACAGCTTTGTCCATACCGCAGCTGGTAAACTGGATTGAGATTAGGCAGGAGCAGCGGCAAGACGAGGAATGCGTGGCACTAATTGGTAAGTTGGACAGGGGTGAGGAAGTAGCACCCAGATTTTTATTACATCAGGACCTCTTGTGCTACCAGGGCAGGGTTGTTTTACCACGTAAGTCCCCTTGGATACATAGGTTGTTGCATGAATTCCACGATTCTGCCCTGGGCGGACACTCTGGTTTTTTGAGGACATATAAGAGGGTGGCAGACAATCTGTTTTGGCGGGGAATGAAGAGCGACATCCGTGACTACGTTGCTAATTGCTCCGTTTGCCAACGTTCCAAAACGGAGGCCCTGGTTCCTGCGGGGTTGCTGCAACCACTACCTATTCGATATTTCCATGGGTTTGGGAGGATATTTCCATGGATTTTATATGTGGCTTACCTCGGTCGCAGGGGATGGACACGATCCTACTGGTAGTCGATCACCTGTCCAAATACTCGCATTTCTTGCCTTTATCTCACCCATTCACAGCCAAAAGGGTGGTTGAGGCATTTGTTAGAGATGTGGTCAGACTCCATGGCATTCCATGTTCCATCATTACGGATTGCGACCCGCTATTCATGAGTCTTTTTTCGCAGGAACTGTTTCGTGCGCAGGGCACTCACTTGAGTCGCAGTTCCGCTTACCACCCCGAGTCCGATGGACAAACTGAGGTTGTGAACCGGTGCTTGGAAGTATACCTCCGCTGTTTCGTTAGTGATAAACCACGCGGCTGGCTCCAATATCTGCCGTGGGCCGAATTCTGGTTCAACACTACCTATAATGCTTTAACTAAGCACTCCCCATTTCAGGTGGTTTACGGGCAGGATCCACCTACAATCTCCAGATTTCAGGATTCTCCCTCAGCTGTAGAAGAGGTCAACCTCCAGCTTCAACATCAGAATGAGCTTCTGGACGTCCTTAAGGGACACTTGGTGCTGGCTCAGCAGCGAATGAAAAGGTTTGCGGACGCTCACCGCCGAGAACTGTCCTTCGCTCCAGGTGACTGTGTTCTCCTCAAGTTGAGGCCTTACCGCCTCAAATCCTTGGCACGGCGGCCGAATGAGAAGTTGGCTCCACGCTTTTACGGACCTTTTGAGGTCCTGGAGAAGATAGGTGAGGTAGCATATCGCCTGCAGCTACCAGCAGACGCTCAAATCCACTTGGTTTTTCACGTTTCCCAGCTGAAACCCTTCAGGGGCAGCGACCCCAGATGTCAACCACTCCCACTTCAGCTCTCGGATGAATTAGAACTGCAGGTTGAACCTTCTGAGGTCCTACGGGGCAGGTGGACCTCCTGGGGTGGGAAGCAGGTGGCAGAGATTTTGGTTAAGTGGAAGGGGCTACCGGATTGGGAGGCTACATGGGAGCACCTAGATGTGTTTCAGGCCAGTTTCCCCACCACAACCTTGAGGACAAGGTTGTCTTCGAAGGGGGGAGTGATGTTCGAACTCCGGTACGAAAGGTTTACGTTAGGAGGTCCAAGAGAGGAATTGAGATGGGCCCAGGCCCAACTTAGATGGATCGGGAGGAGAGCGTGGCTGGCACGGAGGGCCCATATGGGGAGGTGTGCGAAGTTGGTTAGAGGATCGGTGGATATATGGGAAGCAGTGGGAGTATGTGAGGATTATCGAATTTGTTGCTTGGATTGACCACTGGGAGGTTGGGGATTTCTCGAAAATCCCTTCTATCTTTCTTTCCTGTATTCTTGTAGTTTTCCTCCATTTTCCATTAATCTCAGCTTCCTGAAGCTCTTGATGTAATAGCAGTGACTGGGATTCAATAAAAATGGCAATTGCCAATTCTCAGTCCTTTTGTTAGCTCAATCTCTTGCATTAGGAACTAGGATCCTAACATAGTCACTTGTCTGTCTTAAGTGGTTGGGAATGTGTTCAATCTCAAGTTTCTTATGAATGATGATGAAATTAAAATAATGTGTAATTTATGCCAAAAAGAATGCGGAGAGTAAATTTAAAGCATTCTAGCTCATAAAGAATGGGTACAGGATTCACCGTTTCCAATTAGACTATGATTGCATTAAGCTGTATGTTTTTTTTCTTTGATAGTGGTGACCGTTACCTTGAAAGTTTAGTAAAATGAGTACACCTATTCACGTCCATTATGCAGAAACATATTAGGTACCACATTTTCTTCCCTGTTCCTTTCTCATGGAAAGTATCTGTGCACTTCACAGGTATTTGGGATGCAGTTGTGACTTGCTTCTTTATCGATACTGCACATAACATTGTTGAGTATATCGAAATCATATCAAAAATCCTCAAAGACGGCGGAGTAAGTTCCTTGTCTGTTTTGATGAGATTTTCGTTTTCCCTGCTGCCATATTACTGCCTTGATTTGAAATTGAATGGATGACAATTGACAGGTGTGGATAAATATAGGCCCCCTACTGTATCACTTTGCAGAGATGTATGGTCAAGAAGATGTAAGGTTCTTTTTCTGTGAAGTTAACCTTGTCGTTGTCCCACCTTTTTCTGAAGTTTCTTTTGTTGTTAGGAAATGTCCATTGAACTTAGCTTGGAAGATGTGAAGAGGGTTGCTTTGCAGTATGGATTTGAGTTTGAGGTAAACCTTGTTACATTTATTCTGTTTGCGTTGGTATCTGTGAACAGATTTGAATAATCTGACTTGTTTCTTGCTGTAGAAGGAAAAGACCATGGAGACAACTTACACAACAAATCCTAGAGCAATGATGCAAGTAAGCTTCATTTTCTCTTTTATTCTCAATTGATCTCATTGACTTGAGACAGAAAATGTAAAAATATGTACTGCATTATACACTTGAAGCTAATCTGGTTCTGGAACTATTTACATCCAAAATAGTTTGATCATAAGAAAGGATGCTACAACCAAAGAAAATGTCAAATTTATTACTGAAAATGAGGTTGTAAGTAGTCTAAGTTAGCTTTCAGAATGTTGATTGTTCTTTCGTGCAGATTTACTTGTCGTTGATATACAAATAGTATAAAACAAAATAAAATCTGACAAGGGCTGATTTAGGGCTACCATGAACCTTTTTCAAAATCTACATTTGTTCACTTCCTAATATTTCAAGCCAATCAGCATGTGTATACCGAGAATTTCTTAAAGAAAACCATGAAAGTGCATGAAGTGTTGTTGCTTCAAGCCCTTTAAAGTTTCATTATCTTCTTTGCAGAATCGATATTTCGCTGCATTTTGGACGGCGAGAAAGAAATCTGCAGTGGATAAAGAACAAGCTCCTCAATAGGGCCGTAAGAAATCACCCCGAACCCGACGAACCCGGCCGAGCCGAGCCGACCCTACTCGAAAATCACGGGTTTCTAATTTTTTATTTAATTTTCGGTTTTAATTATGCCTAACCTGCACTGCGCGGGTAGGGGCGCGGGGTGGGGTTACATGAACCCGAGGTAACCCTACCCGGCCGAACATGTTCAAAGTAGGTAAAACAATGTCCAACACTTCAAATTCTTACTTTCATAAGTTTATGGACTTTATGCATTTAAACTGCTAACTTATTTATGTTTTGGATTCACGGTTTGTGTAAAAAAAGCTTGTATGCCATAGTTGTTGAATTAGGACATTCTTTATTTATATTGGAAGTGTTTGATTTCAAAGTGAGTGATTTAATTGTTCACATTGCATTTAGACCCCCTATTGAAGGAAATACATGTTCTGTTTGATAATGATTTCTTCTGTAACAAGCACATATTAATTGACTAAAAAGTGATCATGTGGTTCTTGAGATCACCAACTCGAGTAACCTAACCTTACTTGAGGTCACCTGAAAGGTTGCGGGTTTGTAGACTTAAGAGAGTGTCGCGGTTTAAAATTTTCTCAACCCGCACTGGTCGGATATGCTCAATTTTTCGGCTCAACCCTACCCTACCCGGCCGATTTACACCCCTACTCCTCAATAAGTTGTTACTATTTGTCACATGGCTTCAAATTCAATCAAGTTCCTCCTCAAAGTTCATTGTTATACCCTTTGAGCAATATGATCTATGATGCTCATACTGAGATTAGATGTGGATATTCTTTAGTGATTGCATGATGCGAATGAACAATTTGTGCGCCTTCTTTGAACAGATTCAATGGCTTCTTTGGGTTTCCAAGTACGGAAAAGAAAAAAATGCCTTTTTGGGGTTTCCATAGTTTTGTTGGTTTACACACATGCGATGTCTTATTTGTTTGAACGTTTGTTCCCACCATTAATAAAACATGTCAGGTGCATTTGGAATTCGTTCTAAAATGATTTTGTTTTTTGTATGAAAATGAAAACGAAAACGTTTTCATTTTCATTTTGGAATCATTTCTGAAAATGCGTTTGGTGGTTTTATTCCAAGATTATTTTCAGTTTAAAAAAAAATTGAAATTGTGTTTGGTAGTTTAATTTTTAAAAACATGTCATAATATATTAAATAAATAATAATATTAAATATACTAAATAAACATTATATACATGAAAACGTGTGTTATGTTGCTACAGAGGAAATGGGTGTGTGGTTAGGGGTAGCGAGGTCGTCGGAGAAGAAGTCGTCGTCCAGGGTTTCGACTCTGGTGAGGTGGAGGAAGGGGCGGCGGCAGAGTCAGATGAGGATGATCGGAGGCGGTGGTGGTGGTGGTTAGGGGCAGCGAGGTCGAGGCGGGAGAGGAGGGGGAAAATGAACATGGGCAGTCGGAGAAGCCCATCCCCACCCGAGGCGGTGAACCCTGGTGGCGGAGTTGGGGCAGTCGGAGAAGCCCATCCCCACCTAGTGCAGTCGAACGGAGAACGCAGAACAGCGAGGAAAGAAGAAAAGGAGAGTAGAAGAAAATAGAAAACGAGTATAAACCGTTTTCAGAAATGTATTCAAAATATGAAAAGGGTAAAAAATGTTTTTAGTTTCAATTTTTAAGAAAACACAAACCAAATGCGTTTGTGAGATTATTTTTAGTTTTTGTTCCTCGAAAAATGTGAAAAATGTTTTTGAGATTGAAACCAAATGCGCTTATTGTTCTCTCTCTCTCTCTCTGTGACACAACCACTGGATTTAACATTATGGTATCGTTTATTTTAGCAATTTGAGTTTTCAATTTGAGTTTTACTGCAGTTAAAAGTTCTTACAAAAAGTCACATTTAATTTTTTTATTACAGTTAAAATTTTTCTCATAATATCACATATCAACTCGCATTGAAAACTTGAATAAGTGAATTGAACGAGGCCTATGATTATCAGTGAACTCAAATCTTTCATCGGTTTACACAAATGTATCCTATGGTTATCAGTGAACTCAAATCTTTCATCGGTTGACACAAATGTATTTTTAGGACTGTATTGGGTATCTGGACCCCATTGATAACGCAACTATAGTAAATTAGATGCCATAAAAATACTACATGAATTAGCAGTACTATAAAATGAGTTTTAGGGTAAATCAAATCAGACCAGTAGTTATTTACATTTTGGGACATTGGAAAATTTCAACTCATTTTCTTAAAAAGGAAGTTAATAACATGGTATCACAAATTTAATAATTGTCCTCAATTAGAATTTAAGATAATAAAAAGCAATAAAACCTGTTCTAAAAATGAAGTCTAAACGAAATTCAACATTTTATAATTTTTTTTTTCCTTGTAACCAATTTTATAAGTTCACAACCAAATAAAACAAGGGTACTTTAAAGAATTATTCCATTTTGGGGACTTATGGCTATTTGAGCTGAAAGAGTCACAGTTTTGATAAATCTTATAATTATTAACTAAAATTAATTAATAAATTTTACATTTAAGGAGTAAATCCCATCTTCACTGATTAAAATGATTAGTAAATTTCTGCCTTGTTTGTTTCAACAACTCAAACTGTTAGGTAAGATTTAAATCTTTATTCAGGATTCAAATTGGTGTTTAGAAGAGGAAAATTTAAGGACAATTCAAACCATTAACAATGGTTCAAACTCTTGACTTTTATAATTCACCATCCCCTAAATTCTAATAATCTGAATTGTTGTCAACAGTTTCAGATTTTACTTTTTCTTTCTCTTTAATTTCAATCTTAAAAATGTTATAACTTCTTCATTTTAATTTCGATTAAGATGATTTTTTTAATGTGTTCATAATGAAGAGAGGAACAAATCCCCACCCATATTGCATATTTTTTAATGTCATTTACAATGAGGTTTTATAAGATTTGTTACAAAACTCTAATGACAGTTTTCAACACTTATCTAAACACAATTCGGATTCTATTTTCAATCTAAATTACAATTTATTTGCACATCCAAACACCGGTTTGAATCACAATTAGAATCACCACAATTTAGATTCTACAGTTATAATTAAAAAAGTTCAAATCTACACAGTTTAAATTGTTGAACCAAATAAGCCCTTCATATTTACTGAATTAAATTAATTGTTCACTATCATATATATATATATATTCCATAAAACCAGTCATTTTCTTCACTATAGGTAGTGCTGAAACTTTGGACGGGCCACCCGTGACCACCGAAAAGTCTGAATTTTTGCCCGATGACCGAACCCGAAATGCTCAAAAATTCAGGCTGCCCGACCCGACCCGAACATTGCCCATGGACGGGCTTCGGGCAGAGGATGCCTGCCCATGCCCGGTCGGGCTGCCCGATGCCCAACCGGCTGCCCGATTTTTTTTTTTATATTATATTTTTATGTTGTTGAAATAAGTATTTGTATAATTACAATGTGTATATTACAATTTGAAATATGAAATGAACACTGAACACACGAACGAACTATATAAAAAAAATTACTTCTTCATTGATTTTTAAATTTGTAATTCATGATTGCCTCATTAAAAACCTTACCA